TTAGCACAACTGTCCCTGGGAATACTCGCGCCTCACTACTGAAAATCATAAAATTCTTGGGAATAGACTGAGCAATGATCTTCCCACTTCATTGTGAAGAACGTGGGGAGTTATGTCGAGTTTGAGAGGTTTTCAATTCAACAATTCGTCGCTCTGGTTCTTAAGTGTCCTATCTCCACTAGTTTCTAAACTGGGAAGACTGAGTTTAAAGTATACGAAGTTTAATATTACAGAAGCAGGAAAGCAGTGAAATAATCAGACACACTACAATATCATCTACTGAATACAAATATAACAACATAAATTTTTCATTGTTGATAGTATTTAGAGATATAACCATTAGGAAAGAAAAACTTCCAAAGTTTCGAAGTTAGGACTTAAAAGAATATTTGTTTTCTAGGTTGAATTATTTTTATATTATGCTGATTCCTTCAGTTTGTGTAGGGCAGAATTGAAGGGAAAAATTTTGTCGTCCAAGAGTTAAAGTGATAGTAATATGACATGATCTAATTTGTTAATAGAAAGGCGGTACCACTGATATCTACGAAAGACGGTACTTTCCATCCATGCACCGAGTGAAACGTATTTGAAATGCTCGAATAGGTAAAAAAAATGGAAGTATAGACACATCCACGCGGACTGCTGGTATTTACACGAATTCCCACTTTCCGGTTGGTTATTTTACAAAACGTGTGATCGAAAGAGAATATAAACTGTCATACGTGAAATTCAATTTCCATGTAGATATCCGGCCATTACGCTTTTGTGTGTGACTGTACGCACGAATAGCTAACAATATTATTTTTCCTGTCCGTCTAGGTATTTAAAAGACCGGTGATTCTCAGGTTAATCGTTTGAGTAGAAATCCTTCGCGCTCGAATTAATTAAAAGGCTCTCATTAGTAACACAGGGAAGAATTTCATTTCCTATGAACTACTTCGAGGCAATAAAATCGAAGAAGATAAAGTATTCGATTAAGCGACGTCACCGCAGCAACACACACACACACAACATCTAAGGACAACGCGTGGAATTCCCCTCAAAGAATGTTTTAGAACTACGTCGAGACAAAAGACGGGCCGAACGCTAGATGGCTTGTCTCGAGACGGTTTTCTCCACTGTGTTTCGTCCTTTCCAGCTATTCGTCAGAAGTCACCGACGGTGGTACCGGGAACGAATACGTAAATCCGCACGGAAAGGGAATCAATGCGGCATGTGTGCCAGCCAGTAGTTGCATCTATCTGCATACATCTATGGGAGATAAACTGACGCAGACGGGACTGGAGGTTCAACGACTTTCGCAGTTTCCTCTGGTAAAAGGATGTCTGGCTAAAGCATTAACTTCCGAACCGCTGCTCGACTCCATAGAAAGAATTTTTAAGCCAGATAGTTTCTGGCATTAAACTGAAAGAAACCGTTCATCCGTTGGATGATTAAAGGTGGACTAAAAATTTTTACAAAAAATCACACGCCAGGAGTTCTAATACTTATCAACAGTAGTGTACATCGATTAAACAACACGCGTAGATATTAATGAAATTTTTCTAGATAAAATAGTTAATAAACGAATCATCTACACAGAAAATTACCTATAACAAAATAATACTTTTCAAGCGCTACTTCATACTGAAATTTCCTCGCCAGCAAACCGCATCGCCTCAGCGATCTACCTCCTCAGAATTACAAACCTTCCAACTTCGAAGTCTCGGGAAAAAAAAAAAAGAGGTATAATTATCCCAGCCTTCTTTCGTACAGATACGCGATATCGTTGTCTCGGCGGGGCGTACAAATTCATCAAGCTTTTCAATCTTTTCCGCGGTATCAAAGTAACCAGTTCCCGGGAACCGAAGAGACTCGAGCAAGGCTGGCGAAACGCGAGAAGCCCAGACTAGCATGCCCCGCGTGTTTCGTGCTCGTAATTAAAGCCTGTAAGGGAACAGCGACAGCCTCGAACGGGGCGCACATTCGCCGCGGTCCGATAACGTGACCGTTATGAAAAATCTGCATGGAAAAGGGCCGAAACGTTCCCCGTCTTCCGATATACCTGTGGAGGAAGGGGTGGAGGCGGGTGGTTTCGCTTCCGTGTCGAGCCACTCTCTCGAGCCCCCCGGTTCAATCTCGAAGAGGCCCGGCTCGGCACGCCAGGTGGAGGCCAAAAAGTAGACGACGGCAAGTTCCCGGCCATAAAACGGCAACTCTCGTCCCGCGCGAAAGCGTATCTACCGGCGACTTTTAAATCGATAAAGAAGGGTGCACCACCTTTTATTTTTCCGTTTCCCGCGCGTCGCGGTAACCACGGCTAACTTTGAACACCGAGGGATTATTTTTAGGCGACTACCGCGGTCGGCTTAAAAATAGATCAGCCCCGAGAACTTTCGTGATAGCGTGGGGATGGATCTAGCGCGTTCGACCTTAAACGGGGCTTTCGCCCCGACGAGATGGGCTCGTGTGCCAGTCGACTGGAGCACCCGGGAAACTGTAGTTTGCTACACGGTCACGGACGTACTACACACACCTTTTCTAGCCTGTAAGTTTTCGATTTACCGACGGTGAACGGAACTTTGAAAGAGAAACAGGAAATTGTTCGAGGCTCTGGATGAAAACAGTAAATTCTTTATGAACGCTTGTTAGCGTCAACGTGTTTAAAACAGGTCATACATGTAGGATCGTTAAATAAACGATTTTAACTATTTAAAATCTATATATTAAATTCAAGAAAATGACAGCAAACGATAAATACAAATGGAACAGATGCCTTCCCTTGTAGGCAGAAAAAGAAAGAGAATCGATTGTCTTTCTTGCCCATTGAGTATGGCCTGATTTATGCACAACATTAATGATACAACGACACTTTTGCTAGTAGGATCTTGCTTCCATCGCGAAGGCTATGTGCCATCGAAGGACTGCAACATCGAAATTGGTGCGTGTCAGTGGACCGTAAGGTGTTAATGAAAATTATGTCTCTGATAAGAACAGAAATCAAATTAAATGTTCTCGACGGTGCCCATTGGTTTATACGAATTGTAGAGATTCTGTTTCAAGTTCAACAGACTGGGTAAATGTGTTTTCCGATAAACCACGCGGAAACGAACGCTTCAAACCCCAAACAGAAGTCTCTGAATACGCAAGGAACGCAACGCGTTACGCAAGAGATGGGCACAACTGGTTGATTGTACAAGGGGTACAGGAACCCTTTTCCTCCCTATTTCACGCAGAGTGGGCGGTCGAGGGGAACAATGGACGAAAGAATCGTCTGGTCTATAATGCACGAGCGTGTGGCACCAGACGGGACTGGCGAGTACCGGCACACTAATACAGAAGGAACAATGAGACATCGGCGGGGAGAGAGAGTTCTCCAGGGCTCTTGAAACAATTAGCGGCACCGGCGTTAATCTACCGCTCGACCCTCCCGTTCCGTCGATCCGCGCCGGATTCGCGGGACATTTAAAACGTTCTGTGATCAATCGAATTACCTCGACGCACGTTCTCGCGAAACGAATTTTGAACACGGCTGATAACTAATAATAATCGATTCTTCGATCGGTACTTGGAAAATATGTAAATAGGAAAATGGAAACAGGGAAACATTCAGATTTTGGGAATGCATAATTATCAGCTGAATGTTTGTTTGAAAAACATTTTCTCGTGATTTTTTCCCCCACATAAAGAGAACAGACGAGAGTCATAAAATCACCTATCGCCCTTTTATGAATCAGTCGTGTGCACACGACACGACGAATAAATCACGTATTCTCTTATAAGAGTTTCGCTGACGTGGATAATCCTTTGCATACGCGTCCGTTCGATCAGACGTAAGGAACCGATTGAAAAAGGACAAGCTGCGCCGGAGATGCTCCGCAATAGAGGTAGCTGTCCCGAGGAACAGATGGTTCGATTTATTACGTGCTCCGGCCGAGCAATCAGGGCCGATAATTAAACTTCTGAAATTCGCCCGGTCGCCGAAAAGTGCTTGGCAAGCAGACGCTTGCCGGTATCAATTACAACGACAAAAACTTATTAAGGTCGCCCCGGTATCGAATACGAATATCGATCGGTTGCGGTAACGATACTCCCGTATACGAAGTCCCCATTAGATACAGAATTTCGTTTAACACTTTCAACGAGCGTTTTACAGTTCGCCGATTAATTCGAATTAGCATTTTACGCATGGAAATGACCAACGTGTTATCGAATCAGTGCATTATTAAATGAAACAGTATACGGAAAGTAATTGGAAACGCTGCGTTTCCGAGCGAGACGGTTTATTGTGATACCTCGGTAGGAGGTCCTTGTTTCGGTCTGGTGATGAAGTCTTTATCGAGTCGATTGGAGGAGAAAAATTGACTTGTTACTTATCACGTAATTGTATATCCCGGTTTGTTATACAGTATTTGCTCGATAAACAGAAGACTAGATTTATTCCATAAGAGTTCAATCCCCACCACTGGGGAGATCCCCCTTGGATCCACCTAACACGCTATCCTTTTCTGCGACCGTCGCAACGCTACCGACATCGACATGTTCCATAAGTGTAACAAAGTAGATCCCAAGTTTTCATACTTATCCAGAAAATACTGTATTGCGACATTTGTCAAATGTGATGCAGACTTGAAACAGCATATACACTGCTTTGCAATAACTATAACGCCACCTTAAAATTTTCAATCCGTATGTATGGTGGTTAAAATAAAAACGAACAATTTTCTTCTAGAGAATACAATCTATCCTTTTCTGAAGAATTATTACCACATACACCAGTAGACTTGGTTCGTTTTTATTTTAACCACAATACATAAGAGTTGAAAATTTTAGGGCGGTTTTATATTTATGACACGCAGTGTATATACCTGTGTAGGTAACGAAATTCGTATGAAATATGCAATATTTTGTAAAGATTACATTGCAAGATTGAAATCATATTCGCTGGGCGTAGAATATCACATCGGCGAAAATTCAAGAATTCATCGAGCTTCCGACCAATAAATTGTACACGGACTTACCTTTACCGTGCAGCTGCTGCCTATTCGTGTCCGCTCGAAGGTTTTCCGCAGTGTGAACCAGCTCGTCCAGTTGCGGCTTTTTCTTCTCCAGTTCCCGTAAAACATTCTGCACAAACCAGAGACAGTTGGGGATTAGTACGGCCACTTAAAAGTTACGAAACGATTTTTAAATCCCCAGTCGCACCGCAGCGCCACGCGGTCGAAGAAGCGGCGAGACGCGCCTGGGAGAGAGGAAAACAGTCGTCGCGTCGTTTATCTTTGATGCCAATCGCGAACTGCAACTTCGATTTTCGTAGCGTGGAGGGAGGGGGGAGGACAGAGTAAATTGCGAACGACAAGTAACCGAGGCTCGCGATGTTCAGAAAGTGTTGAAAACTTCGACACGTCGAACCAATATTTAGAGGTATAGGAACGATAATAAATAAGTAATCGTTTTTCTGATCATCTCTGAATTTCAAGCACAACGAACTGGTTGACTTCTGCTATCGAATCAAATTAATCGATCAACCTATTCCCATTATCGTGTTAACAAATGACGAATATATTTTGGTAAGTGTCAAAATATTCCTATCTCTGAAGATCAGTTTTTTGCCACTGAAATCATTTTGTCAAGCACCATATGCATTCACTGTAAATCGCGTGGACAATGTGATCGTCTAATATTGAAGACCTGGAAATGTCAAAGGGAATTATGAGTTCCGTTGATTCGTGGATAAATTCAAAAAGATATTACTCATTTCAACAAATCCACTTCACAAGAAATTATTTAAAAAGTATTAACGATATAAGCTCTCAAATGTAAACAATCCAGTCCCAGGATCATTTATAATTTAACCAACGACGCAATTTTTCTGATAGCACAGCCAATACGTTATTGGATTACCGTGTCACGAGTCTCGAGAACCCGTGCCCATAGCTATTTCTATTTTAGCTCGACGTGTCTAGGGGATAAAAAAGAAAGTTATAACCAGGAATTCCGGGCAAGCATAAACGTTCCGCGAAAAGCCTCAGGTCGATCACCTGTTTCTGGCTCTCGGTTGTGGCTGCTTTCTGCAGCACACGGGCCCTATCGATCGGCCGTAGGCATTCTAGAAACCGAGCTACCATTTTCCCAGCCCATTGTTACGAGAAGTGCGGGGGCGCGGGCTAGCTTTTTCGAAAGCTCATTAGCATTTTGCGAACGAGACACGTATTACTGTCCGATTCTGTCGCCCTGTATAATTCCCGCGCGGTATAAAATCACGCGAAACCACGACCAATTATAACTTACCCGCCTGTACATTTAGGCGAAGACACAATGCGAAGTACTTGGTAATGCCGCTGGTGCATCGCAATGTTCGAACATAACTATTGTACAATTGCGACAGATATGATGAAGGAGCTCTGACCGGAATACGTTACGAATTCGAATCGAATAAGTTACGTTCGAGTGTTATTTAGAGGGGTGGAAAAGAGAATGAGAGCTTAACATCGTTTGACCGTTGAAAATATAAACCAAGAGATTCGTACTGAAAATTGTTGTTTCCAGTGTTATTTATGGGGAACAAGAGAAATGGTGCTTACATCGTTCGACTGTTGAAAACGTAAACCAAAAGATTAATACTGAAAATTGTTGTTTCGAGATCGGAAAATCTGTCAAAGGAATCGAATCATTTTGAAGGCTGTTTTAGTATTTTTAATAAACGTTGTAATGTTATCTCAACTGAACTTTGACAAATATTGACAATAAATAAGTTACTGCGTTTTCATTAAATTAGCAATTCAAATCTGTTGCTCCAGATAACAATGTCAGCGCGGAACAACGTTAGAGAATATTCATCGATGTTATTCCTACAAATTCCATGATTTAACGTTACGGCGCACTGGACTATGAAATGACAAAAAAAAGAGAACCTCGAACAGAATTTTTTACTGACCAGGTATACCATAATGAAAATTAACCAGGATTTATAATTACCTTGAAACCCCCTAAAACCTTCCGGAGAAAAACTTAATTTCCACTTATAATCTGGAAATATTTAAATCGGCCTAAAGAATCGTGTCGAATCACCGTACGACAGAGCACTTTAACAGGGATAATATTTTCTTGTTCAATGAACCGCGGATAAATCGTTAAATCAAACACACCGCGCATCCTTCGAAGACCACGCGAACTGTACATGTACGTGATCAACAGCAATCTCTTTGCCCTTCCATATTACATTCTTCGCTCGTGTTGTTCCATTAAAAATCCAGTCGCTCGTGTGAAAAATTGCGCGGTATACGAAGGATGTACTTTCATTATTACATCCTCGGGTAACATTTTTATCATAGGGCGAGGCGAGAGAGAGAAGGTGTGCGCCACTGGCCATGGAAATGTTTGCCGAACCGGAGATTCCACGGGGATTACGAAAACAATAACCGTGTTAAGTCTCGCTAATCTGTGCGGAGCCGAGATAAAAGGACAGCCGAACGACTCGCTCCTTCGCGCCCGACTACACCGAATCCTAATCCCATTCTCCCGCTCGCCTAACGATCAAATTAATTTTCCGAAAGTCGAGTAACCGTGAAACGTTGGGATCCCTGGTCCCCGATCCGCCCCCATTTCCGCCGCGCCCCGGCCCACCTCGTTTCGTTTCATTACATCGACCCCCCCGGTCCTCTTGTCGCGATAACGAGACAAAACATCGATGATACGAATCAATGGGACCGGCTGCGAATTACTCCTAGCTACTTCTTCTCATCTCCTACAGTTAACAACGAGGGGAACTTATTGGGTTGGTAATTTTTTCGTTTTGTAACATTAAAAAGAAAGCAACAATTTTGAAATCATAACAGTTCATACAATCAACAATCAAATTTCCTGCATTATAATTCATCATTAATATATTTCCCTCCGTTGAATATTCAGTCAAAGGGATTAATGAAAAACGTCATGAATTTTACCACCCAACTAGGGTACTAGGGGGTTTTAATATATTCATAAGAACAGTAAATTTTCTATAATCATAATTTTGCTACGTTTTGCTAGTTAGGGAACGTTAGAAATGCATAAATATTCGCAATCTAGTGATTACTCGTGTTAGAAAGTGTAATCGCTACCGATAAAACAGTAAATTTACATACCATCAATAATAACACTGTCCTTAGAATTTGATCAAGTACGTTCGTTCAGATGCACAAGGGAGATCACAACACGGATACACACAGAATGAACACTAAATAAACTAACTTGAACTAAATTGAAATGGACTACAGTAAATGAATTAATAATATAAAAAATATAGATGCTCTTCTTCGAGGGTCATTCCGCGTCGACTAGGTGTGTCCCCATTGACGACTGCCACCGAACTAAGGAAACGTTACTCGAATCCCATGCGAAGGTCAGAAAAATAATAATAAGGTGTTAGCTAGCAAGAACAGCACAAGCAAAGACGGCGGGGTCGAACGACAGAAAACAGCGGGAGGTATTTCTGACCTGAAATTTCGCTTGTTGACAACTTAAAATTGAAATCTCCAACACAATTTCATTATTTCTGATTTACATTTTATTTTGACATGTATAATCATTCTTTTAAGTATCTGATACCAGTAACCGAACACTCTGTACATGATATAGTTTTAAATGGTCTGTGATTAGACATAGAATTTAGAATGTCTTTGATAATATTGTGCAGATTTTAGTCGTCTTGTTACGTGTTAAGTGGTTTTATATAGCACAGAAATGAAATTGTTTGTCAAGTAACGATAGGTCATCGTGAATTACGAGGAAATTCTTAAATGTACTGAATTAAAACAAAATACTAATGTATAGTCGTCCTTTTTCCTTCTCAAAGCGTGATTACAGAACTAGAAATCAATTTGCCTGTTCATAAACTCGATCTCGGAACGTTTAAACGACGACCGATGTACCGAACATTTTCATAGTCCCCGATGAGAGTGCTTTTTACTGTCAGTCTCATCCAATTCTGTTCGAAGTTGGATCCTATAGGTAGAGTGTCGTCGAATTACCTAGATTCAGTCTCCCCAGACGACCCCCAGATTGCTCCGCTAATCTAGGTAATCCACTTTCTTAAGACTTTTCGTCGACGGTTCTACTTCACCATTACCTCTTTCTTTTTTTTTTTTTTTTTTTTTTGTAATCAAAAACTGGTACGCTATTAGAATTGAACACGAAAAAATTCGTGGTTTCGTTAACACTGCGGCAGAATTATTATATTAGAAAGACCAAAATATTTATATCAAGAAGACCAAGATACTTATATTAGGAAAACCAATATATTTATATCAGAGAGATCAAGATACTCATATTAGAAAGATCAATTCGGGCTGGAGGACAGTCACTATTTTCAAGGTCCCATAGAATTTCTATTTACAAAATTGTCCCAAAAAAAACTCCACACGAAAACAATTCCGGGTCTCTTCAACATGTCGCGATTCGAAGGAATTCTCAAGGGAGCCCAGATCCGCTCTTCTTTTAATCCCATTCCGTACGGGCGCACAAACAAAGTTATTTATAAGTCTCTCGTATAATCGATCGTGCGTTACTTCCGTGTCACCGGCCGCTCGGAAAACGGAATATATATTCTGCGGGCACTCAAGAAGGTTCAACGAGGCGGGGCACGAAAATATGAAACAGCCCAGCCATCCGACGATATAATGTATGGTGATGCATCGCATCGTTATGGAAATGCGAATTTAAATACGAATATTCCGCGTGGGCGCGAGATAATGGCGACTTCGTCACGTGTGAAACGAACTTCGCTAATGCAAGGTGAAAACAGTGCGCCTCCGCGCCGCTGGTGGAGGGAAAACGCGACAAGGAGGAATACATTAGAATTTTTATGGGGAAAATACCAGCCGATAAATTGTTACGTATACGGCTGCTTCGTAACGATGGAACTGTGACAGAGAAAACAGCATGTATCACTTTTCCGAGAGTCTTCGATTTTCGGAGGAGAAACAGGAAAGTATAACAAGGAAGTTTGTGGAAAAATATTTACCCGAAAATGATCGTATACAGAATACTTAACAGAGTATTCTATGTAACGATTATTATAGGCTTTCTTTTAGAAAAGAAAAAACACATACAGAACATTTTTTATACATTTTTTTTTTCAGAATCTT